GATCCCCTGCCGCAGGCGAGGGTCCCACGTGGCGCGCAGACCTCTCCTGCCGTGCCCGCTGCTCCCCTCAGCAGTGTACTTCATCAGTCTGCCTGTTCTGTTCCCTGCTCTGTCTCTGGTGAATTCTCTCACCCTCCCACGCTTCTGACTGTACCCAGTGCTTGTATAAATAAATAAATAAATAAATATTAAAAAAAAAAAGATTCTTGGGCTGCAACCAGACCTTCTAAATCAGAAGCTGCATTTTAGCCCATTCCCAGGTAATCTGTATGCACATCACAGTTTAAAAAGCATGGGATTAGGGGGTTGCATGAGATTAGAAAGGTTTCCACAAAGCTCTTCCCTAGACCTCTCTTATTCGTCATTTTTACTGATGACACATGAAGATGCTGAAGAGGCTTCATTAAAGTCCAAGCAACACCAATCTAGAAGGAAACACTATTGTACAAGTACCTCTTGGAAGAAACCAGATTTGATAGAAACCAGATTTGGCATTATGCCAGAAGCAAAGACCACAGAGAGAAGAGTTTCAACTAAATTTTGTAAGTTAACATATATGTCTAGTTTCTCTTGTAGCAATAATTTTTTTTAAAGATTTATTTATTTATTTATACAAGCACTGGGTACAGTCAGAAGCGCGGGAGGGTGAGAGAATTCACCAGAGCCAGAGCCGGGAGCAGAGCAGGCAGAAGGACCAAAGTACACTGCTGAGGGGAGCAGCGGGCGGCAGGAGAGGTCTGCGCGCCATGTGGGACCCTCCTCTGGTGGCCGGGGAGCAGCCGGGGATCGAACCGGCGCCACAGAGGCTGCGGGCAGCTTCGCAACCCAGCGCTCAACCACTGCACCACCGGGGAGGCCCAGCAATAATTTTTAAAGCCTAGGAGTTAATAAAAATCCACATTAATATTTTAAGCAACAACTCTGCTTAATGACTTACTTCACTTATAATCTTGCTTCTCACAGCAATCCCTAAAACTTCTATTTTCAATGTTCCTTGATAACCCTCAGAATTGCTCAACCCACCTCTGAGAAATTATCCTAAAAAAAAAAAAAAAAATTCCCTTCCCTCTGCCAGAAAGAATAAAAGAAGAGGGGCCTCCCCTGGTGGCGCAGCCAGCTGCGAAGCTGCCCGCAGCCTCTGCAGGGCCCGTTTGATCCCCAGCCACCGGCGGGGGTCCCACATGGAGCAACAGACCTCTCCTGCCGTGCCAGCTGCTCCCCTCAGCAGTGTATTTCTTCGTCAGTCTGCCTGTTCTGTTCCCTGCTCTGGCTCTGGTGAATTCTCGCACCCTCCCGCACTTCTGACGGTACCCGGTGCTTGTATAAAAAAATCTTTAAAAAAAAAAAAAAAAAGAGGGCCTCCCCGGTGGCGCAGCGGTTGAGCGCTGGGTTGCGAAGCTGCCCGCAGCCTCTGCAGCGCCAGTTCGATCCCCGGATGCTACCTGGTCACTGGAGGAGGGTCCCACATGGCCTGCAGACCTCTCCTGCCGCCCGCTGCTCCCCTCAGCAGTGTACTTCGGTCCTTCTGCCTGCTCTGCTCCCTGCTCTGGCTCTGGTGAATTCTCTCACCCTCCCGCGCTTCTGACTGTACCCAGTGCTTGTATAAATAAATAAATAAATATTTAAAAAAAAAAAAAAAGAATAAAAGAAGGGGAGGGAAACCAGTAACAGGAATACAAATGAACAATGTTTTAAAGAAAAATAAAGCTCTTAAATGATCAACAAAACTGTCAATCTTTTTATAAATAGCATAATCTATTTATTTAAAAATAACATTCTCCAATAGGTTGAAGAATGTTTATGGTAAATTGATAAACTATTATAAATAATTCTGAAGTGTATATACAACATGGAAAAATACTTATAATGACAAAAAAACCTGAACAATACTAGCCATATAAAAGTTATTCATACATACAACAAAAACTAGGAAAAAGAGAAATTTTTAAAGTTTACTTCCTAGGGTGTTAGGAGGCCTTAATTTAAAATGTCTTTTTTATTGTTAATTATTCAATACTTTAAACATATCAGCCAAAATAATTAAAACTCATTAAGAATGTGTACATTAGCAAGAAATAAAATAACAAAGGTGACACATAGTTTAACCTTAATCTTCAGTTGGTTGTCTTTTATAAAACTATTTAAGTTTATAAACAACCAAAAGGAAAAGATAATGAGATTCGTGTTATGAAAAGTGCTTAACATTTGTGGAAAGTAAAAAGGACTTTGTACAGCAGTTGCCCATGAACTTTGGGTAAAATGCAAAACTAATTTCTGGATTCTATTTTGCTTTTCACCTTATTTGATCTCACTTAACATTCATGCCAAGTTGAGTTTTTCCCTTCAAGTTCATAGATTGAAGGGAAAAAAAATACACAGCAGCCCTTTTACAGTCCTTCCCTGTTCTCCCAGCAATACCACGAACTGTGTTTTTCTGGAATGGGCTACAGAGTCAGATGTGAGGGCTATCTGGCTACCCTCTGTTACCAATACTGAGCTTACTTAGGGCCAAGAGCTCTAGATTTAACTTTTCCATATCGCACATGGAGACAATACCACTTACCCCAAAAGATGATTGTGTTATAAAAAGGTCGCTAACACATAGTAATGCTCAAGAAATGCTTGTCTTATCCTTTTTCCCCACCTTCCTCTCTCCCTATATACACACACACACACTCTCTCTCTCTCTCTCTCTCTCTCTCTCTCTCTCACACACACACACACACACACAAAGTCCTATCCACTATGAAACTGCATGATCCTAAACTGAAATATCTTCCTACTGCCCCTCCAGATGTACTCGTCAACATTTGCTACTTATGTTCTCTGCCCCAGCAGGCTGATCTTTATGGCTGGCGTTGACAGGCCCATGTGCCCTTTGCCTTCTGATTGAGTTCATTCAATGCTGGGTTCCAGAAAGAATACAGGGGGAAAAGGGGTGGGGGAGGTAAAGGAAGGGATAAGATCAGGAAATTCATTCCACTTGAGCTGGGTTTACCCCTCAACCTAGTCACTGCTCCTCTTATGGTGGCCACTTCTAAGTGACAACCCCTTATGGCTTCTGATAACAACATGATTCATTTTTTCCCAATGGAATGAGGGGTGGTGATAGGTCCACCACTGCCATAAGTTCAGGTTCCAGAACTGTCCTTCTACATCCTACCCATACTTGATTAAGTAAACTCTCCACAATTATTCTAAGTCCAGAATATGAACATTTCCTCTTGGAAAAATCCTATCTATAGCATTCCAGAATCATTTATACCTTTGAATCACAGGAAATGGGCAGTTCCAGAATTCACCCCAACCTGAGATGCACATGCAAGCAAGCACAATTCCACAATGCCAGACGCACAAGGTAAGCCTATGGTCCCCAGTTGCCTAAAGTTGCCCCACAACATCTACCCTCCTCAGACCACAGGGAAATTAGCATCAGTTTCTAAACACTTGGAGTCCTGTGAACTGAGGGAGAAGTTCGAGGCAGACCTATATTTTAATTTTTCAGCCCAAGCTCATGAATAAATCCCAGCTTTATCTCAAGTTAACAATGGTATCCAAGGGGGCAATCTATTATGGACTGGGGAAAAGGGAAATAGCAGTCTCCCCAACTCAGCAGCATCCTTCCAGCGGTGCCACTCTTCCAAGGACGGCGCTGGGAAACAGGGCACAACTGACTGACTTGCCAATGCCAAAATGGCTAGTTGAACCTCTAAAAGAGAAAATGTGGGTTAACCAAATGGTCCTATCCTCATACCTTTCTTGCCCTCTCAACTACCAGGAAATAAGTAAACTGAGGCCCACAGGGGTTAAGTGTAGAAGTCAGAAATAGAATTTAACAGAAGTATCTGGCTGCCAGTTCAACTTTTAACTACAAAAGTTATACTCTCTCCCATTTTGGTCTATGATAGTCAGCCACCCATAGGCAAATCAAAAGGAACCCTCCTCTGAGTTTACTCCTAGCTCACCATGACTGCATTTGACTTTCACAGATTTAAGATGGACTTTTCAGGTCTGAAGTGACCCTAGCCATCCAAGACTAAGGAACTCAGAAGTCTATTCTCTCTCTCTTTTTTTTAAGATTTATTTATTTATTTATACAAGCACTGGCAACAGACAGAAGCGTGGAGGGCGAGAGAATTCACCAGAGCCAGAGCGGGGAGAAGAACAGGCAGAAGGACCAAAGCACACTGCTGAGGGGAGCAGCGGGCGGCAGGAGAGGTCTGTGCGCCATGTGGGACCCTTGCTGGCGGCGGGGGATCGAACCGGCGCTGCAGAGGCTGCGGGCAGCCTCGCAGCCCAGCGCTCAACCACTGCGCCCCCAGGGGAAGCCCAGGAACTCAGAAGTCTAATCTTATTTTAACAGACCTCAAGACATAGAACTAACAACTTCATTTTCCACTGTCACACCCAAAATGTACAGAACGCTCTTGTACGTCCCCTGGTGAGTTGTAAAGAACCATTCCATTCCTTTTTTTCGTTGTTGTTTAAACTCACATTTTAATTAAGAAGGTCAGAAAGCTAAATATGAAGAAGAGAGTTGTGCACAGAACTCTACTGAGCAGAAAGGAGCTAAGGGAAGCAGTGCTGCGGGGTGCTGAGAGCTCAAGGTCTGGATCAGACTGCAACATGTGATGCGACATGTGAAACGGGGCAAGTCCTAACCTCTCTAAGCCTCAGTTTCTTCCTCATTAAAATGAGGTCAGTAACAGTATCTACTATTAACAATAGCAGTATTAACCAGGGCTGTTGTATTAAACTAAATGATATGTGTAACAGTCCTTGGCATGCCTTGCAGGCTCCATCAATGCTACCTTTTATCATCTGATCAGCTGAAGCTGCTCCTCTGGCTAGAAGACAAATTCCATGGCCTTACTGGCAATTCTACCTGCAACGCAGGACTTAAAGATCTTTGTTTTCTTTTAGGAATAAACATATTACACTGCTATCAAATGCAAACCCACAGGGATAAGAAATATTCCATTAAATAGACATTTTAGTACCTCTACTCAAGGTGAGTTCCATGAGGGCAGGTTTCACCTGAGAATAAATTCAGTAAGAGAGAAAGTTACCAGAAAAGAACTCACAAAACCTTGGGAAAAGCTATTAAGATTATTATATGCAAAATAAGGAAGGGGGTTACATATGAGGAAACCAGGGATCCACAAAAACAAGGACCTAGTGGATAAAAAGATGACAGCTATCGCCAAGTACTTGAAGTTATGTCGAAAAAGACTAAGGAAGCCCAATGGGTAAAATTTCTAAGACACAGATAGTAGTTTCCAATGAATATTCTTGGGTTAATAGAGACTCCCCCCATATAAGACGGGGAGTTGGCATCTTACCGGTGGGCATAATGAAAATCCTATGGTCTCAGAGTCTAAAATCTTAATGTCTTGTTGGGACACCAGAAATAAACATTAAATGGGAGTCATAGTATGCAGCTCATGTAAGCATTTCTCATTCTGAAAACAATACATTTATGAGAGAATGATACAGAGACTCAATTTTTGCCCACTATTACACATACTTAGGCAGCCTTTTTTCATTGGAGAGATGTCTATAGCTGACAATAAATGACAACAACCCTGCAGTATTTCTCCCTTAAAAAGTAATCACCCTCCCCGCCCTGGGCCATCCTGCTGGCACATGGGGTTAAGCACTGCACTATAAAGCAATCCACAGCCTCTGCAGCACGAGTTCGATCCCAGGCCGGCTATGGAGCAACCAACAATGCGAAACAGACCTCTGTCTCACCTGCTGCTCCCCTTAGCAGTGTATTTCAGTCAGTCTGCCTGTTCTGCTCCCCCACTCTGTTTCTGATGAATCCTCTCGCCTCCCTGCATCTCTGGCCTGTACCCCAGTTCTTGTATGCATAAATAAATCTTTTTTTTAAAAAAAGTAATCACGGGCCTCCCCAGTGGCGCAGCGGTTGAGCGCTGGGTTGCGAAGCTGCCCGCGGCCTCTGCAGCGCCGGTTCGATCTCCGGCTGCTCTCCGGCCACGGAGGAGGGTCCCACATGGTGCGCAGACCTCTCCTGCCGCCCGCTGCTCCCCTCAGCAGTGTACTTCGGTCCTTCTGCCTGCTCTGCTCCCAGCTCTGGCTCTGGTAAATTCTCTCACCCTCCTGCACTTCTGACTGTACCCAGTGCATGTATAAACAAAAACAATCAAACAAATAAATAAATAAATAAAACATGCCTCTATTAAAAAATAAATAAATAAAAAATAAAAAAAGTAATCACCCCAACACTGCATCAAAAATGTACAAGTACTGCAGTAGAATTGTTTTGAGTAATGAATATTAATAGTTTCGTTTTCATCTAAGGCATCACTTCTCTTTGCTCCTGCAGGCTCAGCAAACGAAACACTAAAAAAATCAAGAGGATCTAAAAATCACAACACTGGGAAGAAAGTGATTCAATATTTTTTCCTTTGTTCCACCTGCCAAAAAAGATAAAGTGGATTTGAGAAAAAGGCAAGAAGAATGAATTCAAAGAGTAGTGGGGGGAAACATCTGAAAGAGAAGCACAGTGACATTAATCATCCAAAACCTTACTGAAATTCCAGCTGTGGGGCTTGTATGCCTGAGTGTACACTGCACAGTCTCTATGTGTCTTTTTTTTTTTTTTTCATTCACACAACGATCTGGTTAGTAGGAGGAAAAACATAAAAGCAGCAGCTCATCTTTCATTCATTCCATTTGCTGCCTTCAAAGGCTACCACAGTTCAGCCCTGGAGAACATTAGTGTTCATCACCATGGAGGCAACTGTAATGGCAGACCCAGAATTGTGGAAAAACAAAATAGGACACACATGTCACAGGTTTTGGGGTGGGAGTAAGAACAAGGAGAACCAAATTATCTGGCAATGCAGGTATTTGGAAGCTCTTCTGAAGCAATTAATATTCTCAAACTTTCAGATTTGTTTCCCTTCAGAAGACGGAGACAACCACTGATTCTTTTGAGCTAAATTAGTTCCTTCTATTCACAGAGATATTCACTGTATTTCTGACTCAGTGAGAAATGAATGCTCCACTAAAGGATATACAATCAAGTGTAGATACCTTCATTATAAAGAACTGCTTTCACTTGAACTGGAGAAAGCAATCTTTGTCCTAGATCACTGGCTATTTCACTGTAATACTATCCTTCAAGCACCATTAGATTGGGAATACAAATAAGTAAACTGTGCTAAGTGCTATCATATCCACTAAATTCTTCAGTAGAAAATGGCAAAGGAGGGGCCTCCCAGGTGGCACAAGGGGCTCAGACACAGCACTCTGAAGCCATCCACAGCCACTGAAGCACAAGTTCAATCCCCAGCCAGGGTGCCAACCTACATGGTGCAGCAGACCCCTCCTGTCTCACCTGCTACTCCCCTCAGCAGTGTATTTCAGTCAGTCTGCCTGTCCTGCTCCCCACTCTGTCTCTGGTGAATCCTCTCACGCCCCACACCTCTGGCCTGAACCCCAGGTCTTGTATGCATAAATAAATCTTAAAAAAGAAAAAGAAAACGGCAAAGGAGAAGAGGTGGCACTGAGCCAGCATGAGGGATTAGGGAAGACTGCCTGGAGTAGGAGCACTGAGATGAAGCTGGAAAGCAAGTAGATGTTGGCTTGGTGGACAGGAAAGCTTTTGCTATTCCAAAAGGCACAGAGGAAACCCAGAAGGATCAAAGTCAGAAGCCTGGGGCATTATGATTTCAGGACTAGCTAAAGACTTAGGGAACCACAAAGGAGCCACAGGATCAGGGACCAGAGACAGAGCACTAAGGAGAAGAGCATGTCAAAACCACTCCCAGTATGACTGGCTGTAAGTCAAGCCAGGTGAGAGCTCAAGTTCTGGACTTGGCTAGCCACAAAGGGCCTTGGGTGCCCTTTGCCCAAAACAATTCAGGGAAGTTGTAGCAACAGATCCGGAGCACAGAGGGCTGAGCTGAGGAGTTGAGAAAGTAGAGTCTGTGAAAAAGGCTACTTGCAAGAAGAACTGGCAGGAAGCTTGGTTAGGAACAGGGAGTCAGCTAACAGGAAATACACCTTCCTCCCCTGACCCAGGGACCTCTCTCCCATCCTTGCAATGCTTGCCTCCACCAGGAATCAGTCCTAGGCTCTTTGGCTCTTTGGCTCTTCCCAAGCTCTGTCCACTGGGGCAGAAGTAGCAGCCTCTTTGTTCTGTCCTAAAGCTGCACAGGTCCTGCCTCACTATTCTCAGAGACCCCTCCACCATTCTGCGCCCACAAAACCCCATATACCTCAACTCATCTCTCATCCAGTAAATGTCTCCTCTCAGCCATCTCTCCATGGACCTTAGTCATTATTCCCCATCCTAGGCTGGTGTATAAAAACCTCCCAAATAGTCATCCACTCCCTCTCTCTTCCCCCATCCTGCTGGACATCAATATCCAGGTAACCTTGGAAACCATGGTTTGAAGCTGGAAGTGCCTCTGTCATTCTGGGCCCCATCCCTGAGTTGACTGGATTTGAAGTGAGCAAGAAAACATCTACTCTTTGAGAATTCAGCAGGGCTTATCTATTACAGCTAGTATTTAGTCGGAGAGAAGACAGAGAACTCCAGTGATAAAGAAGCAAATGTATACAAAAGCCTGTAGGATTTCTCGGGGCCTTCTATGAAACCATCTCCATTTATTTACTACTTATCCTCCCTTTGTTTACTACTACTTTAAAGTCATCATTGGCTATTATTGTTGTTGTTGCCGTTAGCAACTTACAAATTAGAAACAGATAAGTTCAGGTAGTTAGTAAATAAAGGAACCAAGGCTGGACAACAGGACACAACTCATAATCCAATGGTATATTCAGCACAGACTCTACTCTCTCAAAGTCATACTCTAGAGCTAAGCAGAGATACTCTGCTGAAATGCAAAGGTGCTAAATGATTTTTTTTTTTTAAAGCTAAGTAGTCTGGCAGAATTAGTTAAGGGCAGATTGAGGAGTATAGCTTTCATTCACCAGACAATGGGAACAATAATCAGCCTCCACTTTCAAGAACCAGTAATTTTACACCTTCACCTCTGTCTTCAAAGACTTTACTGACCATCTCCCCTTGGCTATCAGTTGGTGCCAAAGGTCCAAGAAAAGAGAAACTTTTATGAGGGCAAAACTTCCAGTTCCCTACCTTCCATAAATGTATCCTTTTCCCACACCAAATGAAGAGTCATCTTTCCTCTGCTGACCATCTTTCCCACTGACCATCCCTGGGCATGGAACTCCATTCACAGAAAAGACCTTGATTAACCACTTATTAATCACTCTAGGTACATGCTAGAGCCCCCTTCATCCTAACACCACCCCACCCCTTCCTCTGGAAGCCCACAGCCCCTTCCCCCCAATACTTTAGAACCCAGGATCCTGTAAGAAGCGGCAACAGCAGCGGCAAACAAACAACTCCACACTTCACCATATGCTCTATTTCACATACTGTTAATGCCTTCTGACATAGAAATGGTCGCCTCTAATGAAGCCTCCTGGAAGCTAAATTCAGTGAGCATGTTCCAACATTTCTCTTGACCTTTTTATGGCATTTGATGGTGCTGGATCACCTCCTGCCATCATTTCCAGGATCTCCGATCTCCAACATCTCGTCTGAGCCTCCTCTGTCAATTCCTTCTTAGTTTCCTTCACAGGATCCTCTTCCTCCACCTTCCTGCTCAATATTGATATTTCCTAGGGCTCTGTCTTTATGCCTCTTCTCTTACATACTCTACTCTCTCTGCTTGAAATCATCTGCAAACATAGCTTTAACTGACAGCTATATGCTAGCAATTTTCAAACTTATATATCAGCAGTCCAGACTACACATATCATGATCCCTCCATACCGAACTACATTTGCCTACCAGTATCTGCATGCAGATTCTATGGACAACTCAAATTTGACACGGCTAAAACCATGTTAAGCATCTTGCTTAATATACTACATCCTTTTCTTTCTGCACCAATAATGACAGCATTTGTTGAGTACCAAATAGGTCAGGATTCTCTAGAGAAACAGAGCCAATAGGATGCGCATGCACGTGCTCTCACACACAGATTTATTTTGAGGAATGGGATCTTGCAATGAGAGGGGTGACAAGTCTGAAATCTGTAAGGGAGGTTAGAATTCAGGCAAGAGTTGATGCTTCAGTCTCAGGCTCATTTTCCAGCTGGAAATCTGGAGTTCGGGTACGGCCCTCTCACTTCAGTATCTTCAGAACCCTGAGCAGCATCTGATACAGCGTAGAAACTTAGTGTTAGCCACCAGATAGAAAATGAAATGCTATTAAATGAGAGGACGACAAGATGTAGAAGGCATGAATGATGACGTGAAAGAATCAGGAAACTTGAATCAGGGCTGTGCTATAAGATTCAAGACACAACCCTTCTGAAGCATTCATTTGCCAAAACGGCCTGACCACTACAGCTATGCCTGAATGAGGACCATCACTCAAATAGAAGCACATCCATTCCCACACTCATTTGAATTTGAATATCTCAACAACTCTGTTAAGTTGGCAAGGCAAAGAAAATGTGGCATTTTATGAGTAAACTGAGGGTCAGAGGGACTAAGGGTCTTGCCTAGGTTGTTGCAGAGACTACCTACAATGAAAGAGCCTAGTGCTTCAGTGAAGGGCAGGTAAGAGAGGCTGTTAAAATAATAGAAAGTCAGAACCAAAAAAGAAGCACACAGTTCAAAGCTCCCTACAGATCTGAACCTATAAAAACTACAGATCACATTCTAGTTACAAAGTCTACTTTAATTACAGTCACTGTTCAAACAATTATTACAGTGCATCATTAACGAACTGTAATACCAAGGTCTATATTAGATTATTAGCATTATCATATATCCATTGTTGTAGTAAAAAAATTCCCCT